TTTGCGTAGGTTCGGTCACACTGGAAAAAATAGTATCTAAAATTAAGACCTTTCGTTCCTTTTTTTAACCCCTTGCGTACGAGGCCTTTCTGTTGCGAAGCCTGACGTACGTAATATCACTGAGATTCGATAAATTTTGACACAAAAATTTATAAAACGCATTAAAAATTGTAGTTACACACTATCCAGCTTTCGAATGGCATTGGCGGAATTGGATTATCTGTCATAGTTTTGGAATTATCCAGTTTTGAACAGAATCATGCGTTTTTGCTTTGGTCCATATACGTATATAGACCCCGTCCTTGACGGTTTAGACTTTTGTGTACCCAAATTCAAGTCATTAAGACATGCGCTCTAGACGTTCTAGGTGTCTTACTCGAGGATATTTCGTTTCAAGATTATGATGTCTCATTTATTGTTCCAAATACTTCATTCATTTGTTCTACATAATCGACCATGTTATAGAGTCAATCATTTACTGATAATGTTGACTACGTTAAAAATAGTGGTCGAGGCAGTATTTGAAGGGAATTAGGATAATAAGGATAACAAATTTTTGCAATAAAAAATACTGATGAAGGAATGCGAAGGGTTGCGAAAGGTTGCGAGTTCGATCCCAAGGAGAACCGAATTTTTCAACGAGAGGTTGTTAATAGAGTAATCGCCTGTACCGGCATGGGCTTCCTGTGGTTTCCTATGCTACTTCTATGTTCTATAGGAGTGCGATGACGGTACAGTGTAGAATCCACAGCCGCATGCATAGAGTCGGGTAGAGTGCCGAATGGAACTCAAAAAAGGACTCGAAGGCCGTAAAAAAAATACTGATGAAAAGTATTTTTCCTTAGAATAATATTCAAAGTTTTTATCCCTCTCTGATCTTGCAATGATACTACGTTTGAATTAATTTGACATCTCCCACTCCTCTCACCCTTCCAACCCTCTCAATACATTCAGAATATAAGTCCCCGAAAACGTTTTTGATTCCATGTCTTAATGTGATTAGTGTCTTGTTATAGTGCTGCCGTCATAAATGACTAGTGACTGAATATTATAGCAAAGTGGTAAACCAGGATTATGTTCAATAGTTTTGAACAATTTTCTATTGCTTGAATGAAAATTTCTCTCAAACGTGGTCAAATTTTTTTGCTCCATTTCATGCTCCATTTTTGCATTTATCCTAGTTTATCACTTTGCTACAGAATAGTCTCCGAATGTCTTCAATGAAGATAGAAAAAATGTCTTAAATTTCGTGACTTGTATTTTAAAACATTATAAAAACATCTTGTCAATGACGTTTTTTAGACAAAAAAACCTCCTATTTTAAGAAGGCTTAAATTAAGACGTCTCGACGGCACCACTTTTTACAGTGCAACCGCCGGGGCTCGCTCACTTCTGTCCGCTTCGTCCCTGCGCTCAATTTCCCAGAATGCATCTGACTCTTCCATTCCAACATTTCAACGCAATTTTCCTTGAGTTCAGGAAAATAAAAAATTAATTAATCCAAGAAATGTTAGGATTTTCATTTTCCATAGAACAGAACAGATGCAATCGATAATTGTTTTGCCTCACGTCCCATTCATTTTATTCTTTTTTTGTTGAATTCAATCAATAGGTCAATTGAAAAGAAAGCCGATAAGACACAATTCCACGTGTTGAATAACTTCGAGTTCCCTGGGACTCCTAAACCGGTTTCGGGGTCGTTTTTCCTGTCACTTCGTTTCACTGCGTTACGCTTGAGTTATTTGAATTCTTAACTGGCTGACGATCACACTAAACACTTGGATAGTTAGCGGTGATATCACGATTCTTGCCTGTTGGGTTTTCCCGTGAATATTTTGTTTATTCACATTAACAACTCCACTGAAAATTTCAATGTTTTAATTTAAATTCTTGAAATATTTCGATTTCTAGAATCTTCTTTCCACCTGAGGCGAAATGGAAATTCTAAAAGTACAATATTTGATACGATTTGGATAGAAATGTATGAAAAAATTTCATACAAAAACCTAGCGAATCCATTGGAATATTCTATTGGGTTTCTATTGAATTTTCTATTAATTTTTGGTCAATTCTATTGAAATGTTTAATCAAAATGTTCAAAATATTCTTTAGAAAAAGTCAATAGAATTTGATTTTTCTATCCAATTTCTGTCTATAGAATTTATTCGGTTCAAAGTTTCTATGTTTTTTTCATTCTTTTTTTTTTTATTTTCATTAAAAAAATTAAACAAAAGACTTAGAAAATTTGAGTCGAGGAAATTCCATAGAAAATACCTCAGAAAAAGTTATATAAAAAAATCGAACTCTATTGACTTTTCAGAAATCGAACTTTTTAGAAATCGAACTCTATTGAGTTTTAGAAAAACTATTGACTATTTTCTATTGAACATTTCCACAGAATCGGCCAAAACTAATAGAAAGTTCAATAGAAATCCAATAGAATTGTCTAGCGAATTCGCTACATTTTTCCATCAAATTATTTAATTATTTTTTTTATAAAAATTTTTGATTAAATTCTTATTCCATTATATTGAAAAATCTGTTGAATATTACCCCTAAATTTTAGAAACCGAGCGGCCATTGAAGATTTTTAACCGAAATGCTGGTAAAAATTTCCACGTTTGAATTGAAATTCCTGAAATTTTTCAATTTTCACATTTTTCTCCGCATAGAAAACAAACGCAAATTTAAAAAATTCAACATCTGACACAATGTGGATAAAAAATGATAAACAAATTCATTAATAATCAACTCCATCACCTTTTTATTCCATTGTATTTCTGCATCATCACATGATCAACATGACCCTCCGCCCCTTTTCTCACATTCAATAACCCTACATCATCTGATATCATTGTCTACAATTACTCGGATCATGAGGCTATCCCCGGTCATTCACTAATTGAACCGGACATTGATCCCTGACACATTCTATTAATTCTAAGTCTAGCAATAAACTTCACTGACTTTTTTACATCAGTCACCCAGTTTTTTTTGCTCCACCTTTTAGCATTGAGATACACGAGACAGAGAGAGCGAGAGAGAGGGAAAACAGGTCAGTGCGACGTGATGGAAGAGTATAAAAATGAACGAATAAGCAAATAATTCAGCATTTTCCAGGCACGATCGACCTTGGTATGCAACACGCATCTCTTCCATTTCCCCTGCTAACTCTTTGCTTCTCTGTAATCATGTGGGTCAGGCGAAAAAAATCGTACGATGAACCCACGACTATTTCAAAATGTCATCAAGAGCTGTGTTGGGAGCCGATTAGAGCAATGCCACTGCACAAACTAGTGTCTTGAAGATGTTTTAATTGAAGGCCGTAGGCACAAAAAGGTGCCTTATCAGCTAACTTCGTAATGACTGCAATGACTGAAATCAAGCCGTTTGATGAACAAGACATTTTTATAATGTACTGAAATACAAGTCACGAAATTAAAGAAATTTTTTTTATCTCAATTCAAGACATTTGAAGAGTATTTAATCATTAGTCATTTATGACAGCGGAACTACGACAAGATATTAACCCCATTAAAACGTGGAATCATAAGACGTTTTTGGTGATTTATATCCATTTTCTCACAATTTACTGAAATTCTGAATTCATTGTGAGGGTCGAAAGGGTGATGAGAGTGGGAGGTGTCAAACGAATTCAAACATAGTATCATTGCAAGATCAGAAAACCTTAAATATTATTCTCAGAAACAATACTTTTCATCAGTATTTTTGATCACAAAAAGTATTTCACCCTTACTGTCCCAACTCCCTTCAAATTTTGCTTCATGACTGCTATTTTTAACGTAACCAAAATTATCAGTGAATAATAAAATCGAATAACTTTGATAAAAAAAAAACTTTCAAATAAGGAAATTTGACCCTCTTGACCCTTGGAACCTTGGTGGACTCTGAGATCCTTATGGCCCCAAGGGTCCGCAGATGAAAATTTTCACTCCATAGGAAGATACCCTTAAAAGTGAAAATATTTTGCTGAAATTTTTTTTAAGGCCTGAAGTAACTCTTCTGGTTAACTTCTGTAGTGATAAAAGTCGTCTACCTGTCAGAGTTGAGCAGAAAAAAAATAGTTACGATTGCGGGATTTACGCTACGAAACCCCGAATAGCGCCGCCTGTGGCGATATTTGGCTCTGTTCCTACGCGAAGCCGATGACAGATTCTCTCATCGCGCGCCTGAAGAATACTGGGGGAACCGCGCGTCTACTGACGGGCTATCAAAAAATGAATAAAGCATTTGGAAGAATCAATGAGACATCATAAGTTTAAAACTAATGATCCTCGAGTAAAACACTTAGAATATGGAGAGTGCATGTCTCAATATCTCGATTCCAGACATTAAAACGATTTAATTTTGAGGATCCAAACGTCTTAAAAAATACCCAAAAAAAGTCGGTCTGAATCAGACTAAAACATCGGTCTGAATCAAGTTGGACTGAATCATGCCGAGAATCGACTTGTTTCACGTCAAATTGATGGCATGAATCAAGTCGGATTCGGACACATGCAAACCTGAATATTGGTCTCATTCAAGTCGATTTTTCGACTTGATTCAGGAGGACTTCGGCTTGATTCAAGTCGATTTTTCGGTTTGATTCAAGCCAACTTTTCGGTTTGATTCAAACCTATTTTTGGGCTTGATTTAAATCGATGTCGGCTTCACGTGTTTCTACTTGAAATAAATCACTTTTCGATTTATATCAGACCCGGAGTCCGGATCTGATCGAATGGTGTAGTCGGAGTCACTCGACTTGAATCAAGCCAAAAAATTGAATCAGTACTTTGTTTTAGGTGTAAGGTTGGGAAAAATACTTTAGTTTCACGCACTGATTTTTCTAATGGGTCTCCAGAAAATTTGATTAACATCTTCAATAACCCCCAGATATTCACCAAAACCAAACTCTGCGGAACTAATTGATCTCATCTCATCATCCAACCACTCACACAAATCAATCCATCGTTAACCCCAAACGATTGATGTTTCAGAATATGCAAAAGTCGATTGGTTCAAATGACACCTCCAACAGTGGAAGTACAGTGCCAGCAACCACAGCATCCATGAACGATGAAAACTCCCGACCTCATGAAAATACCCAAGAGAATGGACGCAAAAGTGTAGATGACAGCGAAGAAGTAGCAACAGTAACCGAACATATCGATGAACATTCGGGAACGGGTAATGGTGCTGTACCAGCAACGAAAAAGGGACTGAATCTTAAAATGAGTGCCAAGGAATTGCGTGCTAAGCTGGCTGCACGTAAAAAATACGATCCCAAGAAGGAATCAATTGGCTTCAAAGATAAATTTGATATTGTTCAGAAATTGTAAACGGCACATTCCACATTCCTCAACGAATTTACAATCCTTATCACGATTATTTCTGTTGAAATGTTGATTTTGTCTTATCACCTCGTCTCCGTCATTGCGATTTACAGCTTACAACAGACACAATAATTAATGGGTTTTTTTATTCTTCATTTGGTGAAGAAGACAATGTGGCTGTGTGCGAAAATCGCCGTCTATGTTTGAAGAAACCTCGTTCTTAATTATCACTTTATTTCTTCTTTTGTCACTGTGCAATTGGCTTCCTATGCAATTAAATTTCATTACTTTTTATTTTGATAATGCAATTGGTTAATCACTCGTTGTGATGCACGTTTCATCACTAGTTCCTTCTCATACTCTCATTCAAACAGATAATTGAGTGATCTTGGGGAGAGATACTAATCATTAATGTGCAATTCAATGGACAAATGAATACCCAATGACTCAACATTATGCAATGATTCAATTACTGAGGTTTTCAGTATTCGACTTGTAACTGATGAAACTCTTTACAAGATATTATCCTCCCCTAATGATTTATTTCATCAACTCCTCTTCGATAACTTGGGAAAAAAAATTGATTATCGTGTTTGGTGAATCATGGTAATTGAATAAAATGTCATCAAGAGTGTCGAGGTCATTTACATTGTGTCAATTTCCCCATATACTCAGACCTACAGTCATCACGATTATACATTTGTCAATGGAGAAATCGATATGGGGAAATGTGCCCAAATTGTTCGGATAATTCAACGATTTCACAGTATTGTTATTTGGTTTCTCCTTCAATCGTGTAATGTTAGTTCACTCGCAGCGATAATGAACTTGGAAATTTGTGATTCATAACTAATTGATTGAGAGATTATGTTCCACGCAGTCCGCACAGATATTTAATTATGCAAAGAGTGCATAATATTTTATACTTGGACTCGTTAAGCTGTAAGCTTTCTCATGGATAGATATTGGTGCAATCATCAGCAGGATTGAAAGTGTGTATTCTCACGTAGAAGAATTGTACAATTATGTCTAAGTAAGACCGATGTAATCACTGCAGTTCTAGCCATTGTAAATATCAGGGAGGGGGGGAGGGGAGTCGAAATCCAGAGAGAATTGAATCGATGAAATTTTTTGGTGGTCACAGCTTGAAATTATGGAACTTTTCGCTCCTTCTCTCGACGCATAATTGCAATTGTCAATCTAATGGTTCAACCGTTGGTGTGGGGTTTCCACCAATGACCTAGTATGTATATAGATGGTTAGTACGTTATGCATAAGAATACCGGAGCCAATTACACACGTTGTTACAAGCATCGCACACTTCCAACGTTATTACATAAGTTTAGATGAGTTAATATTTGTTTGGCGCATTCGACTGCGTATGTATGAGTATTGTTTTTCTTGTGTACTTGTAAATACATACAAAGTTGAAAAGTTGGATTATTATTTGGTTTTTTATATTTTATGCAAACCCTCGATGAGTTAACACCCATGATTTTTTTTATTGGATATTCCTTTTTTCCATTAATTATTTATAATCCTTCTCACTGCAAAACGCAATATGACCGATGACAATGGACAAATATTTCGAATCGAAAATGAGAATACAAATATGGCGGATATCTCGAACGAATGAAGACAGGCGGTTTTCATGAGTACAATCGTCTTGCGCCGAATTTTCATGAAGCCCGCCTAAACAATACAGCGATGACCATCTTCCGATTTTTCAATATTAAAAGAATTTCCGAGTTACATTGATCAAGGTTGAAAAATACACATCGAAATTTAAAACTAGTAAATTGATAATCTAAATTTTCAATTGATGGTGAATTAAATATTTAATAATATGTATCTATAAATTTTCTATCAAGTAAATTATACTAAATTTCTTATAAGGGATTTCCGATTATCTCAATAATCGTGCATCTTCTTAACTAAATTACTGATTATTAAATAATTCGGAATTTGAATATTTAAATGGATGATTAATTCAATAATTAAAATTTAAGAGTAATATTAACTAATTGACTACTTAATAATTTAACGGTAATTATAATTTATGGATATGGCTATCCCGAAATCAACAAAAGATAATTGAAGATCATTCTATGAAACATGAATAAACGAATCATAATTGTCCAAATTATTTAGGTCAGAAGAAAATAGAATAATTCTACTTTCTTGAGATTGCGTTTACTAAGGTTTTCTTCGAACAAAGTTGATTACAATTAGTAGCTGGAATTATGAGATTATCTCACATTTTTGACGTCAAGGATCGCACAATCTGAATGCCAATTAATATCCAAGTACAAAATTTCTGATATGAATAAAAAGAAGCTGTCACTCAATATTGCAAATTGAGTTTTAATTTTTAATTTTGTTTTGAAAACACAAGATAACATTATGCTAAGCACAAAAATATATTGATGAGATGAACAATACTTTTGCCAGAGTATCAACGAACACTGAATTCCAGAAATTCACACTCTAAAGTGTGTTCTAGAAGGAATTGAATTGTAATTATGATTAGAATCTTCTTCAGTTAACATTGGAATTAGGACTTGAGCAAATAATTTATTTGTTGCTTTTTGAAATAAGAATGATTAAAAACAATTAGTTGAAGAAAGGAATCTCGAATTTGAGAGGAAAACAGCAGCCCTAGTAAAGTCAAAATGAGGAAGGAGGTTGAAAAAATAAAAGAATCGACTTCGAAAGATATTAAAACTGTTGTTTTGATGATCGATAATGTAGACACCAACAGTTCCTCATGTTGTTTTACAAGTGATGCCATTTTTATCAGATGTGAATAAGTCAGAATATCACCGGGAAAATGTTAAATACTGCACAAGCTCCTACACTTCATCCTTTTCAATGATCAAAAAGGTTCCCTATCGCAACAATGTTCATAGAACTCCATGGAACCGTCACATTCCCACCTTCATTACCAAAAATATCAAATTAATCCGGAATAACAATATTACTCCTGCAATTCCCTCTTAAATCATCCGTTAAATTACGTGAAACTCATTCCGAATTTAATTGAATTTAATTTTCTATGCAATTTATCTGCGAAGGGTTGAAAACGTGCAGTAGAAAATGTCTAATGTCAAAGCAGTAACCGTGAACATCAGGAGTAGTGCGAGTGAGACAACGCGAATGGAGTTTCTTAGTCGAAGAGAGATGGAGATATTCAGGCGGACATATATGGTCGGGGGTAACGAAAAGCTCAGGTTACGCTGACGGCGCTAACAGTTTGCATGTTGATGCCTTCGGCTTTCGTGATTCCTCGTCCCGCCCCACCGCCGCCCGTAGCTTTTTCTCTTTCGTTTATTTTCCCCACTTCTCCCGCCGCATCGCCAATGTATTATTTCTTCTCCTCGTTTATTCAGTATTTCTCTTCTTGTCTCACTTGTTCATGCAGATGATCGTGCGTTCTCAGTGTGTTGACTGCCCAAAAATATCGGGGCATCGCTGAGGATAATGGCTCGGCGTTAGGGAGAGACGGCGGAGTCTCTCGTTATTTCGAGATTATCGGGGATTGCCTGCTTTCTATAATTGTGGAGATTTTAGTGAATTATGTTGGTGCGAACGGGCAATCAATTGTTGCATTTAGTGGGAATGCCTGTTACGAAGAAATTCTTATTCTTGAAAATTTTCTTCTTGGAAATTTTTATCAAGTGACGATTCCACTGAAATTTTAACGAATTTCAGCATTGAAAATTCATAGTTCAATCATTGCTGAGAATTCACTAAATTTCATTGAATTTCTTATGAAATTTTAATTTTCATAAATTTTAGTCCCTAAATCGAATTCAATTTCGCTCTCCTGAAAATTCTGAAAGATGATTTAAAATCTATTTGGGCTCAATTTTAATTGAACAATATGAATCAATTGGTATTGATTCATGCGAATGAAATAGCGAAACTGTTCACTAATTGTGCAATATGATTGTTGCGTATATTGCTAATTTTTAAAACTTGAAATTTTTTGGATAAAAATTGCAGTATAATTCTTGAAAATTTTTATCAACTGAGAGTTCCACTGAAATTTCAACGAATTTCAGCATTGAACATTCATAGTTCAATTATTACTGAGAATTCAATGAATTTCATTCGATTTCTTATAAAATTTTAAATTTTATAAATTTTACTCCCCAAATTTCAATTTTTTAATATATTGAATGCATGTGTCAATTCCCCATCAAGAGGAACTGATTCAAAATCTGTTTGAGCACGATTTCAATTATTTTATTTGAATTAAACAATATGGTAGCGATCATATTGAACGATATGATACCATTATAATTAAATAATATGAATCAATTAGTGTCGATCCACGCAAATACAATAACGAAGCTGTTCACTAATTCTGCAATATGATTGGTGCATATTCTGCTAATTTATATATACCGTCAAAATTGCTGGATCAAATATCGATGCACTCCTTCACAATTATTATCAAGTGACAGTTCCACTGAAATTCCAATTTAATTATTAATCATAATTCAATAAATTCTATTGAATTTCCGGGGAAATTTCAATTTTCAATTATTCGGCCTTGATTTAAATTGAACAATATGGATCAATTCCTCTTGATTCATGCGGATGAAATAGCGAAACTCTCCTCTAATTCAGCAGTACGATTATTTTTACCGTATGGTATAAGAATACTGGCATGTGTTGACCAATTACATCCGACGTTAATCATCGTCACGTGGAAGGATGCAATTGAATAAACATTTCATTTTCCAATATCATAACTTCCGCACGAGTGGTACCACGTTGAGTATGCTGAGGTCATGGATCTTTGCCGATCGATTGAAACGATCGGAATGCCTGGCACTCGGCACACCAATCATTTTCCAATAGCATCCCCATTCAATCGAATTCACTTATGTGAATACACTAACAACATAATGATCTGATGTCTCGTCTTGTCCTCGCACTCATAACACCTATTTCCAGAACGTAACGGGTGGGTAATTTTAGACACACCGTTCCATATATTTGCCCTCACTCTTTGCATTCAAAACACGCTGAGGATGAAATGCACAGTATTTTTTTGCGGAGAAAATGAGAAACAAATTTCCAACTGCAATCACTTCAACTCGATGCTTTATACGAGTTTGATTGATGTTTATTAACTATACATTATATGGGAAATAAACTTATTTTTTTACTGTGGGAAGATATAGTAATTCTTAATATGACAAATAGACTGCAGGACCATACCCCTCACCCTCGAAAATTTACTATTTAAGGATAATCGAGCGAGGAGAAGAGTATTTAAAAAATGCAGCCAATTTTATGAAGATTATTTCACACATTATTGAATCCATTTAGAAACCGTTTGCAAAATTTGAGAAATGGATTCAATAATGTGCGAAAAAATCTTCATAAAATTGGTTACATTTTTTTAATATCCTACTCCTCGCCCGATTATTCTTAAAGTAGTAAATACATAACTTAAATTTTGAAGATGAAAAACTGAAATAAATGCTAAACGGAAGTTTAGAATAAGATGAAGCTGATATGAATAAAATAAATATTCTGGTTGAGTTCGTGCTCAATTGTCAGTCTAGTATTATTGATCACTAGAAGGCTTCGCTCGCCAACCCCGGCGGGGCTTCGCCTCCTCGCTCCCCCCCCCCCCCCC